GTTGAAGGAGATTGAAGAAGAAATGAAAAATGAAGAAAGTAGACAAAGTGAATTTAGTCACTTCAAAAAAGCATGGTGAGAGGGAGGGATAAGGGTAGAAGAGTGGCTGGAGAAAGATTTCGTTCATGAAAGGGCTTAGAGGATTTGGGGCTTTTGTCCTTTATTTTTGGTTATTTTAAAATGGGAGAAATTTTTCTATTTCAAAGTGGAAAAATTTTGAGTTTGAAATAATTTGTAAATTATTTCTGGCATCTGGGAGAGAATTTTTGATCCACAGTAACACACACACACACACTTAAAAAAGTCATATCAGACAGTGATGCACACACATACACCCCAAAGTTACTCATGGTCTATAATCATAAAACCCTGGCATTTATCTCAGTTTTAAATTCTAATATAATATAATAGAAAGATTATTGATTAAAGGATTAAAGATCCCAGTTATAGTCCTAGGGTCTTCCAAATGATTGACCTTTAAGTTACTTTATCCTTCTGAGATTCAGTAACTTTAAAAGGCTGAACTAGATTAGGAATGACATCTTAGATACCAGCCCTAATGCTTTGATAGGGGCTGCTTGGCATGCTGTGTTAAAAAGGTTTCGGAGGTTGTGTCTACATTTAGCAAAAAAGACTACTATAATAGATTAGCAATGTCTGCCACAGGCAGGAAAATAGTCGTTCTGCTTGGTATTTCTGAACTCCCGAACTAGAACATTTCATGATTCATTAAATGCATTATCATCCTGTCATATATCATGACTTTGGCCTAGGAAAATGCTCTGTCACCATTTTTATTTCTTATTTAGCCCAAATCCCTTTTTTTTTTTTTTTTTTACTATAGAAATGGGATCTGACATGGCTAACTCTGACATCATCAAATCTCTACCTCTATTTATAAACTAGCCCTATTCTTTTCTGTTTATCTTTCTAATATTCTCTATAATAGCAAGGCCATTAAGAAACATAGACCATTGGCTATAAAAACTGCCTTCAGATATTTGGAACTGCATTTTTTTACTGACTATATAGGGCTCCAAATAGCATCTACAACATTTTAGACTGTGATCGAATTTCTTTGCAAGACAAAGAAGGTCTATTGGTCCTCTTTTGCTGGATTCAGATGCTGTGTTTATAGTATTTCTAACCCCTCAAGTGAAAAGTCCTTTGCCCTGTGGACATAATCACAGAAGTACATGACAGCTAATTCTCTAAAACACAATAATGGAAGATCTCTTCTCTCAACCACTCCCAAACTTCCAAAAATGTTTCTTTTCTAAGTGGCTTCCATATATATGTGTGTGTGTGTGTACACATATATATACACACATATATATACATATATATACACACATACACACACATATACACACACACACACATATGTGTATATATATCCACTTATGCCCTCAGATAGAGCAGGACCCTGCTCTTAACATTTCTATTTGTTTGCCTGTGACTTCCAATTATGCTATGTGCCCATAGCATTGTTGAGAGGTTCCAATGAAATATAAACAAAAGCATTGTGTAAAAGTCTTGGTCATTATCTATAAATGATATTATTGCCATTGTTACTCTCCTCACAAGCATAGAGCCACTAAATAGGGAAAGATGGGGGCATTCTATAACCACATGTGGGACTGGTACAAGATGAAAGAACCAGAAAGGCAATTAATGGAGCTTTAGTAAAACAACTTCAAAATCAAAAAGGTTTTGATTTGGGTTAGTCCACATACCCAGCCAACTTTCCCCTTAATATCCCTCATTTTGTGGTGAGCATTTTTCTTTTTAAGAAAGGCTTATTTAATACAAAACCTGAGGGTCCCCTACTCCTGCCATGTGGCTGTTCCCTCAGGAAGCAGTCAGGCAATCGGCTTGTGTAAGAACACTGCTTCTATTCCACTGTTTCTTTTATTCCCTGGAGGAACTCCACTGGCCTGAGTACTTCCTTTCCATGGCCTCTCTTTAATATCTCCCTCTTCTCTGTAGTCATTTCCATCTCATTGCCTTTTTTCAACATTTGGAGATTCTCTCAAGTTAGTTCTCCATATTACTGATGCAATTATCTGCAGGGTCTACTGTACGTTTTACTTCTTCTAATACATTATAAGATTCTGCCAACTCATGTTTTATTTCAAAGTCATCATTCTAGTTTCTATCCAGCTTCTTTTTAATTTTTATCTTCCTGTGAGCAGGTTTACTTTTGATATTTATTGTCTTATCTCATCTTTAATCTCATGTTTCATGGAATCCAGGCTTAATTGAATTTTATTGAAAGGACAAGCAGATGTTGCCTTAAATTACTTTTGTTTCCTATGGTAAATCTTTTTTCAAGTATGTCCTTCCTTTGCCTCCTGTGAGCTCTGTTCTTTCCTGCTTGAGAATCTTTTCATAGGGCCCAAATTGATGTGTGTGGGTTTTCCCGCAATTTACTCATACTCAAAAATGAGAATTCTACACAGGCCTGAAATCTCCACCAGAAACAGGTGTAATAAGATGCTAAAAGACGACTGATCTCAGTTTCAGCAAAAGCCCCAATTTAATAGGGGCAACCCAGGGCCAGCTACATAATTTGCTGGACTCAGTCCAAAGTGAAAATGCAGGACTGCTTATTCAAAAAGTATTAAGAAGTCCAAGATGGAAACAGGAGAGCATTAATCCAAGCACGGGCCTTTCTGAGGGAGGAGCCCTGTGTAACTGCAAATGTCGTATGTCCTTGAAGCCAGTCTTGGGGGAAATTACCCTTGCAATCCACAGCAGGGTTCCGACCACCAAATAGGACTTATAAGGTGTCTGTAAATCAGATTTTTGAATCTTAGCCCCTCATCCACCTAAAAGAAATAGAAGAGTTGAACCTGAAGCAACTAAAGAGTGAGTTGGAATTTGGAGGGTTTCTCTAGAGCTAAGTATCAATGTGCTGTGACAACCTCACTCCTCAGTCTCCATGTGGCTCCAGGGAGATCCCTTGAAGAGTTTTACACAGGAAGAAATTGCAAGCAGGCAGGAGGGAGCAGCCTCGCCCTCATCTAGAAAGATGCAGTATAGCTTTCCCAAAGGGAAGTCTCCGTAAAGGCACGAAAATGTCATGGGAAAGAAAGTATTGGCTTTTAATGTCGGCCACGTCAGGAGAGCACGAGGTCATGACAATGCCAGTCAAGAATGCCCTTTCCTGCCCCAGCCTCTTGGTCTGGGAGTGAGGTGGAAGGAGCCAGCAGAGCATAGATAAGAAAGAAGAAAAGCATTAGGTTGAGGTTTTGACTATTACCCAGTATTGAAATGAAACTGCTTCGTGACTCTCAGTGATCAGAGAAGTTTCTATTATCCTAGAGTAAATGGACAAGGCAGATGGTCCACCACACGCCAAAGGGAAAGAACAACATCGGGAACTTGCACAGAGTTGTGTTATAATTGGGCTTGATTACGTTCTACTTGTTTAAATGCACAGGGTTCGGGTTCTTTTCAAGTTCTGCTTGTTTGCAGGATACAGACCACTTGCTGATTGTTTAGATTGAGCACCAGTTGCCTTTTTCATTATTCAGCATTGCAAAGAGAGCAGGAGAAGCAGAGGTCTTAGACAGCTTCACTCTATTTGATGCAGGTGCAGCTGCAGCTCCAGGTGCCAGGCCTGGAGAGAAATCTTCCTACTGCCTTAGGAGACCCTCCCAGCTCCCTGCCACCACCTTAGCAGACCCAACATTCCTCCCCACCCACCAGACCCAATTTCCCATTAGCTTGAACCCAAAGAATCTGCTGATGTGAGAAGTTGTGCCTGCAATGCTTCCTCTAATTCTGTTCCAAAAAGCTGGAGGGGAGGGTGCTGCCGTCCACACTGAATGTTAGCTGCTGAGAATGCACACCAGTGGGGAATCCCCACTCAAGGTCACTTCTTTCAGCCCCTTTTGTGTACTTCCCTGACTGACAAACGTCTGCCATACCCTGCCCCTCAGTACACCCCTTTCTCCAGTCACAATCCCAGCCCTATCTGCTCTGAGCTACAGCCTCCTAGCAAACTTCAATTAGAGTACTGGGTCTCAATCCTGGCTGCACATCAGAATCAGCTGAGGAACACTGTAAACGCCAATGCCTGGCCCTCACCCCAGACCAGTTGCCGCAAACGACTGGGGAGTGTGGCGCAGACATCTGGGCTTTGCGTTCCTCTCCAGGCAATTCTAATGTCAGCCAGGGCAACTCACAGGTTATTCTATTTTTTGCTCAATTCGGTGTCATCTTACAGAAATTCCTCATAGCCTTTGGCATATGGATGACAATGTTTCCCATTTTTCACTGCTGACACAGATTTTTTTCATATTATTACATTGAGATCAATTTAGATTTGTCTGCAATACAAGGAAGACTCTCCTAACTGTCACTGTTAGGAAATAACTGTATCACATAAGGGAAAATTGAAATCTTCCTCCGCAGAGCTTGTAAAAACAAGCCAAAAATCATCTTATTTTCTGCAGCTGTTTAGGTGGACAGTTACTAGGCCAAGGTTCTGTTTAATGCTATAGATCTACACTGGAATCCTAGTCAATCATAGAAGCAACAGTCCCTCCATTATTAAGAACTCTTCATGGGCAATTCTTTCTTAGTGAAGAGACAGAAATTAAGGACTGGCCCTGTAAACAATAAGTAAATCTAATCTAGGCACCTGTATGATCCAAATTCCACATCTCTCCAGAATTGCAATATTTTATTGATGTTTGAATTAGAAAAGTATATTGTTTACTCTAAAAGAAAAACTCAAGAGGGCTAGAGAAGGTCGGACTTCTCCCAGGGGAATAAAATTGATCATGATGTCTGTTCCATGGAAATTTAAGTATTAAAATGTAAAGAATACAAAATGTATTGGATTCCATTCAGCCTCTAACTTGCCTTTGTTCATTATCCTGAGCCTCAGCGATTATTGTCACTCTGTGCCTTAATAAGCTCTCACATTTGACCACTCTTTAGGCAGCTGAGCATGCGTTTCCTTTAGGATTTTGTTCACCTTCATTTACCTTCAGAGCTTGTGATAGAAATCACACCATCTTGAATATCTGGCTTTCTCGTGCAGGTCTTCTCTATCCCAAGTACAGCAAGCAGATTGCTTTGTTCTCTTGCCATCCTGAGCACAATCCAGGTGCTGAACACAAGAGGCTGTGAATAAATGATGAAACCAAGTTTTAGCTTAGAGCTTACTGTGTTCCATTTGCATACGTATAATGTCAGATTCATTATTCATGAGCATATGCTACAATGGCCCTCCCCTCAATTCTCCACTGCTCAATTCTCCACTGCTTCTGACTCTCAGATGTGCAAGATGAACCTCTTTCCTGCAGCTTGGAGCAATTTCTCCTTTCTGAGTTCACGGCAGAGTGATAGCCCTATTTTTAATGCAAGTGTGGCTCCTTAGATGCATACCATTTACAACCTACCATAAAATAAAACTGAAGGTTTTGATTCTGAAAGCTGTAAGCATATTGGGTCAACAAAAAAAATTAAGAAGCAAGAAGCAAGGATTCCCTTTAGAATTCTGGTGGAGGGACATGCTGGTCTATCTATAGATAGAAGAGGTAAGTTACAATGGCACATTGCAGAGGGCATGCTGGAAAGCCTTTACTAATTAAAAGTCTCTCTTCCGGATAAGTGTGATGGTTAATTTTATGTGTCAGTTTAACTAGGGTAAGGGATGCCCAGAGATCTGGTAAAACATTATTTCTGGATATGTCTGTGAGGGTGTTTCCAGAAGAGATTAGCATTTGAATCAATGGACTGAGAAAGCAGATTGTCCTTACCAATGTGGGTAGGCATCCTCCCATCCACTGAGGGCCCAAATAGAACAAAAAGGCAGAAGAAGGGCAAATTCAGTCTCCCTATTTAAGCTGAAACATCTGTCTTTTCCTGCCCTCAGACAACATGGCTCTTAGTTCTCAGGCCTTCAGACTCGGGCTGAATTATAACACCAATTCTCCTGGTTCTCCAGCTCACAGATGGCAGACTGTGGGACTTCTGTGCCACCATAATTATGTGAGCCAATTCCTATAATAAATCTCTCTATATGCATATATACATATACATATAGTGTGTATATATACACACATATATACATACATATATAGTACACACACACACACATTCTATTGGTTCTGTTTCTCTGAAGAACTCTGACTATTACTATAGCAAGTTCCTCTCAAGCCTAGGATTCTACTATTACAAATAAGGAAATACTGTCTCTTAGAAGGAAAAGCTCCTTGGGGAGAATGACATAGCGGACCCTGTGATTTACTTTAACAGATCACTATCCTCTCTATAAATAAAACAAGCCCACTCTTACATGGTGCTTCCTATGTGCCAAGCACTGTTGTAAGTGCCTTCTACATACTAACTCATGTGATTCTTAAAATAGCCCTATAACATAGGTGTTATCATCATTATCATCTTCATCATCATCATCGCCATCATCAACATCTCCATTTTTCAGATGAGGAAATGGAAGCATGGAAAATTTGAGTAACTTGCCAAAGTCATATGCAAGAGTCAAAATTTGAACCCATATAACCTGTTTACAAATTAAGCATTGCACTACAGGGTCTCTGGAGGGTAACACACATAAAAGGTGTCTGTCTTTGGATAACAGAAAGAATGGAAAATATTCTGAATATAAATTCAAAGGAACGCTGATGGAGAGGGGATGTGCAGTAGCAGAGCACTAAGCTTGCTGTTGCATATGATCTGCCCTCCATCCCTATTACCTCCGTCCTCATCTCCTACCTGTCCGCCCCCCACCCCTTTCTCCCTCTATTCTGACCACTCTGGCCTCCCTGCAGTAACTTAAACACACCATGGATACTCCCACTTCAAAGTTTTTGCACTTAACTGTTCCCTCTTCTCGGAATGCTCAGAGAGCCACAGACTCTCTTCTTTTAACTTTTTCAATTGTCACCTCATCAGAGAAGCCTTGTCTTATAATCCAATATAAAATAGCACCACACCATCCCTCCAGTCCATTATTCCAAGTCCTTTCCCAGCTTCATTTTTGTTCACAGTGCTTATTATCTGACATATTATACGTTTACTCATTTGTTTATTCATTGCCCTCACAATCACCTGCCACTGAAATGTAAGCTCCATGTGAGAAGAACTTTTGTCTATTTGTCATTGTTGTATTCCTAGCACCTAGACCCATGCCTGCCACCTTAGAAGTGCAATACACATTTGTTAAAATCAATGGGTGAATGACTATGAACTATATACTTTACAATTTTTCCAATGATGACCCCCAAATGGAATATAAAATTTGAGACATCTTTTAAGTCTACATGTATATGCCTGAGGCTATAACTTAACAAGGTTCATTGACAAATTAAATCACTGGATCTTTTTAGCAGTGATAAGGTTAGATTAGCTATATTTTTAGATGGAGACTAATAAATATGACTGCACAAGTACAAGATTTTGGCAGAGGTGTTGACATACTCGTCCACAGATCTGCGAATCACTAGGCATGCAATCTGTGGAGATAAAAGTAAAAAGAGGCGCTGCGTGTTGCAGAAAAGGTCAAAGTCTTATAGTTAGGTCTACGTTCAAATCCTAGTTCTGTTACTAATTTTTACATGACCATGAGCAAATTAGTCTCATTGGGTTTCACTTTTCTCATCGGTAAAATGGGAATGGGTATCAATATGGCAACATTAACTTTGAAGGGCTATTGGGAAGAACGAGTTGAACAATACAGACAAAAGTGTTTAGCACATAATAGCTTTCCAACCTTTTTCCCTGAATCTTTATGCAAAAGTGGCATGATTTAGTGACAGGTTGAGAACATAGAGCAATCAAGCAAGATTCTTTGTTTAAAAGGGAAAAATTTTTTTTTAAATTTACAAAATCTCTAAGTATGACTAATCTCCTTTTCTCCAACAGCCCCCATAGTTCGACTTCATTATTTAATAAATTATTAACAAAATTAATTTACTGTATACTCACTAAATGCCAGATATTATCACTTAGCAATTGTGTATTATTAGCTTTCCTTTATGATTAATGCTTCATTGGTAAAGGATACTTTTACTGCTCTTACCTCTCCAAGAATGCAAATGTAGAATGAAAGACATTGTTAGAACTTCAGATGCAATGGGATGAAGAAGGAAAATGAAATGGGGATACTGTCTGTTCTGACTTAAACAACCAAGAATACCTTAAGAAAAAAACTTGTGTGTTATTAGAAAAAATACTAATACATAGAATACATATATTATTATATTAGAATACGTATGGATAGCTAAGAGTGGATGATGCACTACATCATAGAGCAGAAATGAAATGATTAGTTTGGACGCAGAGTCATTTGTTCTTTTAGTTTATGTCTAGTTGTTGTCTGCTTCTCTCATGGGACCGCTGACTTCCACATATGCGGCCTCAAGTCTAAGAAATCTTGCATGGAGTAAAGGCTTATTTTATTATTAATTAGGTCTCTCTAATGGGATGTTCTGTGTCTGTTTCTACTGGGGGACCGTCTGGCTCAGGGCTGTAATTTGACAGCTCTTTATTGGCAGAACTACATGAACTGAGGACTCCTTTTTATTTCAAAGGGAGAGTTATTCCCACTAACTCAAGGAAAGGATTGCCAAAAGTCACAGCAGAGGCAATAAGAGATGTGATGCTTGCATTCCACAGCCCTCATTCACCTTCTAGGCTCTGTGAATAGTGTCTCACCTAGATGAAGACAAATCAGAGCTATATCACCCCTACCCACCTCTAAGTTTGAGAGATATTGGGGATGGTCTATGAAGTCAAATTCTTGTCCCAGGCCCTACCAATAATTGGTGTGAGAGTTAGAACTAGATCTCAACCCTTAAATCTTGTCAATTGCTCTGTTTGCAATTTGCTTTCCTCTTTCACCCACACCCCTTGGTGCACATGCTGAGCCTTTTGTGGTATCTTTTCTACCAAAGGTGTACTATTATTTTATAGGTCAGGTTTCCTTGAGTGACACCTCTTTGAAGATAGTATAATAGTGAAGACCGTGTAGAAAAATTATTCCCAAGAAAAGCCCTGAAGCACATAGGAATTATTCATTCTCACAACTATTATTGTTCCACAGGAAAAGCAAAACGCTTTTAAGGGACTAGTGAAATGTTTTTTATAAACTAAGCACAGCGTCCATGAATTATTGTGAAAGAGTTATCCATTAGTTCTAGCCAAAAAGCAGTATTATTTATTATGAACATATTTATTGAATAAACATTCTGAAGCTTTTATTATTAATAGGAGAGAGCAAGAATGAAAGAATTCAGTTGTTTTGATATAAATAAATGCCTGATACATTCACAAAATCTCATGAAAACCAATAAAAAATAAAAAGAAAAAAATACACCAAGATGTGTAAAGGACTTTAATTTTGTCAAATGAGCATTTTTTACTCTTTTCTGAAAATTTAAACAAAACATTTGCATTCACATTAAGTTTATAAGCTTTTTCACTATCTACTAGAAATGTAAACTATCTCAGAGATGACTGTGGTAAACAATTCTAATTTTTTAAGAATTTCATTTAGGAGAATGAATCTGAATTATCAGTAAACCTAAATACAACATAGTTTTAACTATTACATTATTTCAAATACATTATGGACAAATTAGAACTAACTACCAACCATGTCTTTCTGAATAGCTAGCTTAATCAGTAAACGAGTCATTTGTAATAAACACCACTTCTCACCTTTAAAAACAATTTTGTTTAAAATCTTTTAAAGTTTTTTTTTTAAGCAAACAGACCCCCTGACCATTACCCCTACTGTCACCATGAAAAGAGAGAACATGATGACACCCTATATTTTCTTAGAGGTCCTTTGTTTCACAAATATATCAGTATAAATTTTATTCCAACCCTTTTAGAATTACCTCAGAATCATACTGTTGGAGCTTAAATCAATAAGATCCAACAGTACATGAACTTAACTACATGAAAGTTTCAGTTTTCAGGAAGTGAAATTCCTAAGACAATACAAAGAGTCTTTAGCACATTTAGACCTAAGCATAGACCAATGACTTTCATTCACAAGAATCCAATCCAAGAACTTCGCTAATTCTAAATTTTCATGTGGCATCTAACTTCCTTTACTCTTTATGCAAAACTTTTGGATTATGTTACAGCTTCATTACTTTCTGAGACCTTTTATTTCCTCTTCATCTCCATTATCAGCACTAAAATTTTGCCTCCTGTTTTTTGATCACATGGAGTGACCCTGGCACATTTTGGAAAATACACAACTGGACCCCAAATCTGGAGATGCTGATTCAGTGAATGCTGGGTGTGACACAGGAATATTTTTCTTGAGCTCTCAGATAATTCTAGTAGACAGCCACATTTTAAAGATAATAGTATTTATGCAATACGCACAACTCACTAGAACCACATAGAGATGTCATGAGTGCTGATGATCTAGGTAGAGACTTATTCTTATATAAGTCTCATTGTGCATGATTTAAACTCAAGGAAAAGTATAAATGACCATCTATTCTGAATCTTCATGAGCTTAGCATCTGGTTTGCTTATTTGTATTTTCGTGCCACCGTTTTCCCCACTCCCTCCAACTGCGTGTGAGGAAAATGTTTCATCTGCAAAGTAGGTTTCTCCAGTACCAGAGCCCTTTCCAGCATGGGTGGAGATGCCTTAAATCTGCATTCTAGCAGGAAACTCCCAATCATTATAGATTTCTTGGAGTAGCAGCCTTCCCCTAACCTATCCTTTCATTGCCTGGCCCTTATGGCAGATGGTATTTTCCAAAGAGGGCTTCAGCAACATCTCCCATCCCACATGTTCTTCTGCCCCTCCTCCATTAAGAGATGAAGTCTATTTCAGGGCCTGATACGGCTCATGCCTGTAATCCCAGCACTTTGGGAGGCCAAGGCAGGCAGATCACGAGCTCAGGAGATGGAGACCATCCTGGCTAACACAGTGAAACCCCGTCTCCACTAAAAATACAAAAAATTAGCCGGGTGTGGTGGCGGGCGCCTATAGTCCCAGCTACTGAGGAGGCTGAGGCAGAACAATGGCGGGACCCGGGAGGCGGAGCTTGCAGCCAGCTGAGATCGGCCCCTGCAATCCAGTCTGGGCAACAGAGCAAGACTCCGTCTCAAAAAAAAAAAAAAAAAAGAGATGAAGTCTATTTCACAACCCCTTGAATCTGGTTGGACCTTGGAACTGCTTAAAGCAATAGAATGTGGTTACACCTCTGTGTAATAGTGGTTACACAGAGGGACTTCTGAGGCTCGATCATAAGAGGCCTAGGAGCATCTGTTCTGGTCTCTTGGGATGCTCCCTCTGGGAACCCAGCTGTCATACTGAGATAAGCCCAAAGCACACGGAGTAGCCATGGGCAGTGTTTCAGTCAATAGCCTCACTAAGCACTGAGCTAAGTCCTCAGCCAACAGCCAACATCAACCACCAGCCATGTGAGTGAGCCATCACAGATGTCCAGCACAGACAAGCCTTCAGGGCACTGCAGCCTCACACAACACCTGATGGCATCCACATGAGAGGCCCTAAGTGAGAACTATCCAGCTGAACCTAGTCAAGAAACAGGAAGAACTGTAATAAATGGTAAGAAATTGTTTAAACCACTAAGTTTTGGAGTAGTTTGTTGCACAGAAATGAGTCACTGAGAAAGTGCCTATGACTAGAGTTTTACCCCAGGTATTGATTTACACCCTTTAGTTCCCTGCTGGATTTACAGTAGGTCTCTGAACCTGCTTATTTAAGGGCCAATTTGGTGATTCCTGACTAGTCTCATCTGCATCCCTGTCCCATAGTCCTCCTCCTTCCACATCTGAAGCACTGGGCACCCACCATAGTTCAACTTACCCCATATTCTGGAACCAAGTTCTCTTTCGGGACCTATAAAATCCAAACTCCTTGTCTTGATGGCTCTCTAGCAACAAATCTATCAATGGTTCTCAACCTTGACTGCACATTGGAATCACTTGGGAAGTATTTTTTTTTTAAAAAAATACTTGTTTACGGCCCAGTGCAGTGGCTCACGCCTGTAATCCCAACACTTTGGGAGGCCGAGGCGGATGGATTACGAGTTCAGGAGTTTGAGACCAGCCTGGCCAATATGGTGAAACCCGGTCTCCACTAAAAATACAAAAATTAGCTGGGCGTGGTGGCACGTACCTGTAGTCCCACCTACTTGTGAGCCTGAGGCAGAAGAATCGCTTGAACCCAGCAGGTGGAAGTTGCAGTGAGCTGAGATCATGCTACAACACTCCAGCCTGGGCAAAAGAGTAAGACCACATCTCATATTAAAAAAAAAAAACATGGTTACTGGTTCCCACCCCCAGAGATTCTCATCTAATTGGTCTGGAAAAGACATTTCTATGCTGCCACTACTGCTATTTTGGTCCAGATAATTTTTTGTTGTGAAGGGCTGTCCACTGTATTTTAAGATGCTTGGCCATATCCTGTTCTGTACCCACTATAAGTCAGTAGCACCCTTACAGTTGTGACAGTCAAAATTGTCCACAGATGTTGCCTAATGTCCCCTAGGGAGCAAAATCATCCCCAGTTGAAAACCGCTAGTCTAGATTTTAGCCTGGGCATCAGGATATCTCAAAATTCACCAAGTAATTCTAAAGTTCAGGCAAGGTTAAGAACTGCTGATCTAAAACAGCATTGCTTTTCAAATTTAAGCATGTATATGAATTACCTGGGGACCTTGTTAAGATGCAAATTCTGATTCAGTAGGTTTGGGGCGGGCCCAAGATTCTGCACCTTTAACAAGCCCCCATGTAGCTGCTGTCATTGTTCTCAGTCCACTTTGAGTAGCAAGGAAGTAAATACTGCAATTTGCCTACAGGGTGAACTTTTATTTAGCACCCTCAGCTGGGCATCCCAAGGCCTTACCCTAATTGCCCCCAGAGAAAATTGGTTATTGGTGATTGTCAAAACAGACTATGTTCCCCACAGTTGGCAAAGATGTCTGAAAACATGGTAGCAGCAAAATTACTTTAAGTAAATTATTCACTTCTTAGGGATCAGTGTGCTGCAAACTACATATTGCATTTCACCAGTGTAGAAGCTGCCAGCAGATTAGGGGAAAACTTCCCTACAGTTTGCTGCTTGCTGTTGCCAAGGTAGGAAGCCAAACAATGCCTTGAGCTGCCAGCCTTTTTCAATAATACACTTCACATTGCCAGTCGCGAGAAAGGCTGTGTGGGACCCAGAGATTTCCCCGCTGCTCCAGCCCCTCTCCAGCATTTTAAGTCCACAGCTTTAACATATGTCACAGGGGTTAAACAAATGAGTCAAGAGAGCAGATTTTTAGTTTGAAGAGGGATTTCAGGAAGTCAGTTCTTGCTCCTACAGGACAGAGGTCAAGCTACAATCGAGCCAAGACAGACTAGCCTTCTGAAATTTACACAAAACTGTGGAAAGGTCACATCTCCCTCCACTCGTGACTCAGGAACACAGAGGGTTTGTACGACTGTTAAGCTTTGGCTTTTGTCCAAGAGAAATGCTCTCTTTTCACTCCAGAGGTGTTTATTTGCAGTAGAATCACTTTAGAAGTATGTCCTCTCTCACCTGTAAATTTAGCCAGGAACTTGAAGATGCTAGTGGTTCAGAAGTCTTCCAGGCATATTATTTAAATCCTACTGATTCCAAAGAAGAAAAAAGGCATCTGGTTGTTTGGGAATCTACAATGGACTACAAAATGTATCCACAGATTATCTGGTTGGCTCAAAATGTGAAACACAGTACTTCTCTACTTAAGTCTTGTCACCTAAAAAGGAAAGCAAACAAAAAACACCAGGAGGGGTGAGTAAATCTTGGCTGTCCAGAGAAACAATTCTAATTTATTTCAGAGAGTGCTTTGAGTACAGAAACTGTAAGAGAGATTTCCCTTCTTCTACCTCATTTCTGTAAGAAACAACTCTAAACAAACTTTAAATACAATGTTACTACTTAATTCTAAATAGATGTTCTGCCCTGAAACCTACATCTACTTCCTTACTGCTGAGAAAGGGATTGACAATGATAAAGAAGGCTCAAGTTCCCGTTTACCCCTTTTTCTGAAACCTTTATGTGCAATCAGCCTTAAATGGCTCTTGATGGTCTCTCCTCTGGACTATACCCTGGGTCCTCTCACTAGTTCTCAACTGGGGGTGATAAAGTCTCCAGGGACATTTCCAATGTCTGTAGACATTATTGGTTGTCACAATTCAGGGGTTGCTGCTGGCATCTTGTGGATAGAAGCCAGAGATACTGCTAGATGTCCTACGAGAAACACAAAACAATTCCCCACAACAAAGAATTATCTGATCCAAAATTTCAATCATGTTTACTGTCAGAAACCTTGTCTTAGATTTTTTGAAGTTAAAAAAAGATCCTCAACCAAAGCCTACTGAAGACTGCAGACCTCATCTTGCCCCCTACAATTCTAAGCCGACATAAAAACAGAAAGAGAGGAAGAGGAAGAAGAAGGACCCCTACACATAATTTCTTTACCCCTTTCCAAGGACAGAGATCACATTCTTGTTCCTTTCTGTTATGCCAGAGGGTAACAGTGACTGAGTCATAGTGGATACTTGACTAATATTTGTTGAAGGAATGGATAAATCCCACCCCTCAGTTACATGATGTCCTCATATGAGAAAGAAAAGGAAACACATCTTAGCTATAAGATTAGCTCTCCTCTGACCAGCAGCCTGGGGCTTGCTCAGACAGTATGGTACAGCCTGGTGCTTCTCAACTTTAACGTACATACGAATCACCTGGCAGTCTTATTAAAAATGTAGATTCTGAATCACAAGGTCCAGGGTGAGGCCTGAGAGGCTGCATTTCCTACAGATGTCCAAATGAAGCCGACACAGTCCAGGTCACACTGCGGGGCAGCAAGAATAGACGATGTCTAGACTTGAAGCCAGGACATTTAGCAGCTTTCTCAGCCTCCATGTCCTGTTCTAGAAAACAGGGAGGATGATAAAATCTCTGCTACGCCCACATCAAAAAATTGATAATTGTGTCCTGATAGGATCTAAAAGGGATTTCAGAAATCATATAAGCTAAACTCTCCCATTTTTAAGTGAGGAAACAGAGGCCCAGAGACATCTTAGCAAGTCCAAGGTCACTCTGGTGGTTAGCTGTAGAGCCTGAACCAAATCCCTCACACTGATACAGCCATCATTCCTCCCTGTGTGTTCTGGCTGCACACACTGCCTGGTGCCTAGTACTGCAGGTCTGGCTGTTGTTTACTTGCCTGTGCTTTTTCCCTGATGGCGTTGCATAATGCCTTGGCTAAAAGTGATCCCCTACCACTCCTCCAAGTGTACCTGCCACTTCATGCATATCCGATTGCCACATCCAGTGAGACTGGCCAGCTGCTGCCATGTTCCTGAAATCAGTTCTTACACTCTGCTGCTCAATTTTGTGCATCACAGTGTCCTTATACCGGATTTTGCTCCCCTGATGTATAAGAGGTGCACAAATCAAATTAACCACAGGTGAAAAAGAGCAGTTAGCCTGGTGCCAAACAACAGAGCAGACACCGAGCTGGGATTAAAGCCCCACATTTTGATTCCTGGTGCATACTCCAAACCTCTTCAGAAAGAACACAGCCCTTCACTATTTACCAAACTCTCATTAGTCCAACAGCCTGTTGTCTTAATGCTAAAAACCCGCCAATCAATAGTAATTTAGGTGAAGGGAAATTATGTTTAAAGAGAAACATTCTAACACTTACAGGTTCATTTTCAGAATCTTACCCTCCAGTTGTCTCAGAATAATCTTGGGCCTGCTTTTCTTCCTTTCCTGCAAGCAGAGAACACTGTTCTGAGAACTCAAGTTATATTCCTGTCCTGTGTCTTTCCTTGCCCCTCATTTGAAGCATTCCTCCGAGTCTCGTGTATTTTAAGTGCCATCTAGTGGTAGATCTTCAGATGTTAATAATACAATGAAATTTAACTTAAGGATACTTGGGGAAATAGATGGTCTCCAGATGATGGAATAATTTCTCTACCTGAGAATCACTATATCTGCTATATGTGAATTACCAATATTCAGACTATTTAAATACTTTTTTCAAATAATCCTGCATATTAATTTAAGCATTCTTTTGAAAAACTCTTGTAACTTCTCAGTCAAAAAGCATTTGCAAGATCTTTATAATTAGAGATTTTCAATTACACGTTAGAAATAAATTAAAGCATTCTGCATAATTTTTTAATTTGAAAGACAGGTTTTTAAAACTTAAAGCAGCTTAACTCCTCTGTGTATCTTCCATAAGTGTTTTCTATTTGTTTTGATAACTCTACTCACTTCTTCCCTTACAGAGAAATACAACAACTCAGGATTTCCTTCCACAGAGAGACAGAGTCTTTCCTTGCATCCTTTTCCTTGGAGAGCAGGAATATTGGAAAGACTGATCCTCCCTTCTCTTTCTCCACCCACTTAAGCCCTTCAGTATCCACTCCTTTTTAGGTATTGAATCTGGCTGAATAGTCATATAATTTTGGTTCCTCTGTCCATTATCTGTGCAATGACAGAAAAACCAGGATGAGAAAAGATTAGGAAATGTTTCTACAGACTTCTCACCAAATCCTAACAGGTTTAGAGTTATTATTTGAGTTTCTAGCTCCTGGCCTGATGCTGCTTCTTCAAGATCAAAGGGATTATGACAGAAACACACTTAGAAAAGTAGACTCCAAGTACTTAGAGAAAATATGTACAAATGAAATACAGCCAGGAAGATATTAAAACAGATGTTCTTCTACAGCACAAATGGCAAGTCCAAAAGAAATTTTCATTAAAAATGATTAAAGATACTCGAATAGCAGCTACTATTAAATGCTAGCTTACAATTCATTTTGTTTTCATAGCATTCATTTTTCTTATTATAAATTTATATAAATATAAATGAAAAATATAGACAAAAGCATAAAGTAGAATGTAAGCTATCCTCATACATCCTGTAGACATAAGCCCTATTAAAATCCTTTGGATATTTTTCTGATACATGTCTAGGTATAAAGATTGGGATCATATACATGAAAGGTTTTGTCGTGATTTTTTTTCATCTGGTAATATATTTTGAGCATCTTTCCAGGTCATTAAATTTACAATGAATATATTTGATGACATGGGAAGATGCACCACGTTTAATTTAACCAACACTTATTGACAGACATCAGATTGTTTCTAAATTCTTACTCATATCTAATTCTGACATGAACTTCCTTGTACACAAATAAGGCGAATGTAAATATTTATTACAAATTGATTTCTAGAACTTTAACTACTGGGTCAAAGGACGTGAATGTGTTGAAGTTTTGTGATACACAACAACAAACTGGTGACTATAATTGTAGCCATTAATTAACACTCTTAAAAGTACCTCATAAAGGTACAACCATGACACTTTCTCTAAAGAGGGAGGCTGCTGCCTACCCACCCTCTTTAGGGTGTCTCCTTGAACATACAATAGGCCTTATTTAAAGGCTCAGTCTTTTATTCATAATTTTACAACGCAAATACGTGGGCTTTCTAACATTTAAAACTGGCTCAGGGGTCTCCCACAAGGGATACATAAGGCAATCACAAGTGCATCCTCTGGTCTCTCAAGAGAGGTGTTAGTTGTTCTGTCTTCCACCTTCCTACGTGAGTTCATATAAAATTCTGTCCAGACTTTGTAATCACTTTCATGCTACCCTACATGCATGTAATTTTGATAAATACCCAATATTAAAATTATGTTCTTTCCTCATATTGGTACAAAAGGGCCTTTTGTTCCTCAGACTGTTTTACTCTCTAACAACCTGGTGGAAATAACTATGTCCCACATATTGGCATTTCCATGGATGTGGCTGCCTGGTAACAATAATGGGAAAACAATGTAATTCTAGAACATTCTATCTGAATTCACTCAATAGAGGGAGATATACTTTTCTTTTCTTTTTTGATGGAGTCTTGCTCTGTCGTCCAGGCTGGAGAGTGCAGTGGCGCAATCTCAACTCACTGCAACCTCTGCCTCCCAGGTTCAAGTGACTCTCCTGCCTCAGTTTCCTGAGTAGCTGGGACTACTATTATTGACAAATTTTTTAAACTCCCATCAGGTTTCTCAAGTTCTTACATTGTTATTTTCTGGATAACAATTAGAGTTTTTATTGTTTTTAATAAGAAAAAAAATATTTTAAAATGTGTACCAAAAACATTCCCAAATTGACAAGTTCCACTTTAAATTTAAAAAAAAAGAAAAACTCTCATTGCTGAAGTTTGCTTTTTCATTCCTGTTGAAGTTCCCTTCAATAACTAGGGGAGGCTCAATAACTTTGCCCAATTATTAAACCAGAACAGTAATAAGGAGCCTTGGCTGAAACTCCCAATTCTTCTTCACCCCAAAACTGTCAGAGGGGATTTTCAACTCTGAACTCAAACAAAACACCAGGATTGGTGAAGGATGACTAAATCCACCTCGTATATGAAACTGCCCATATTTCACCATTTTTGGTTTAGAAAAACAGTGGTATTCATATGGCACAAGCTAATAGAACCATTTATCATTATCAAATCATGGGTAGATAGACAACTAGAAGCAAATATCCAGACATACCACTACTCACTGGTACTGGACACATCCCAGGCAGACCAAGAGGCAGCCACATGACCGTTTATCCTCTACCTGTCACCCTCATTTCCTGTGGCTATTACCAAACGACTAGGACAGGACCCAAAAAAATCATCAGCACTGAGAGCAGTCAATCTAGAGAGGGGAGTGTCAGCTTTTTCTTATCCCACAGAATGGAATGAGGAGGATTCCCACCTGCCCCAATCTACCAAGGAAGGCACCGAGATACTCACAGAGATGCAGAAGCCAATAGGAAGGGCAGACAGACATGTCATTATAAAATAGCGTTTGGACGGTAACAGCCCTTTCCCAAAGCAGACCTCCTTCTTGCCTGGAAACTAGACTGCCTTTGTAGGACTAACATTAGCCACCAAATTACATATTGTGGTTGAGGAGTCCTGCAGCTGGAGGCTGCAAGCTTCTGACCCCCTACCTAAACTGCTCCAAAGATCAGTGCTTGAGATATTGTGCAGCCCCAGCACTTGATGGATCAGCTGGCACCACCCAGATCAATAAACTGGCTCATCTGATCTTGTGGCCCCCACCCAGGAACTGACTCAGCGCAAGAAAACAGCCTCCATTCCCTATGATTTCATCTCTGACCAATCAGCACTCATGGCTCACTGGCTTCCCTTCATCGACCAAATTATCCTTAAAAACTCTGCTTCCTGAATGCTCAAGAGACTGATTTGAATAATAATAAAACTCTGGTCTCCCACAAAAAAGTAAAATAAAATAAAGTAGCTTTTGATTCAGATTTGCTCATAAGCCCTCCTGTGCCTATTTGAGCTAGAGGAGATGGGAGTTGGTGAGATGTGGCAGGACAAAATGGGAATGATGAGAGGAAGGCTTACAGTCCTACCTTTTGTCACAGGAAAGCTGTGTCAGTTCCATTGTATCAGGTGGGTATATGTGTAAGGTAGCTGGACCTGAACTGCCTTAGTATTAGACAAGTAGAATCAAGAAACAAGAGACTGCAGGGTGACAGCTGAGAGGCAGGGACAGGGAAATGAGGTAGAAGAGGAGAAGCCAGAGATCTACAGCGGCAACTATGCAGTTTGGAGGCCTTCCTGCAAGGACCTTGAAAGAACTATGCTTAAGTCCCTAGAGAGAAAACACCTACATATTCACACAGAGAAGGGACTAACTGCCCATTACTGGCTAAGGAAGTTGCAGTGTATAAGAAAGGATTACAATGGTGAGTTAGTAAGTATAAAGGTCTCTGTCCCTTTCTCTGTTACCTCTGCAATGCCCCAGCCTACAGCAGCTGGGAGAAGTGAAGGAGCTTCCCCATTACAAATCCACCCAGCCATAGATAAGGCATGTGACAGGAATTAGGGAGAAGATGAGATTAGAGTTGATTAGAGATTGAGTTTTAATATCTACTCTTGCCCAAGAGCTAGTTAAAAAGAAAGAAAAGGAGATGCAACAGAGCATGATTAAAAGCAATGGATGGAAAAAATTTTTTTCATTATTGTACATTGCCAAGTTCAGACTGTTCAATAGGCCAGTTACACCAGTATCTACACTGACGAACTAATTGAAATTTCTGGGTCATCTCTGTGGCTTCATTTGCTAAAAGTTCTGCTCTTACAGTGTAATTGAATTCAAAGACAAGAAATCACCAGTGTCAATTGTAAAGAAGAAAAATGAACTTTTATTTGGAAAGAAACTGCATCAAATTAAATTAAATACAGTTTGTAGTTTTGTTTCAACTCACTTATGTCACATATAATATCTAAGGAGTAAACACAACCCAGTCCAAATAGTATTATCAACAGCACCAAAAAAAAAAAAAAAAATGTTTGTTTTATTTCATTGATGGGGTGTGGAGAGAATATTAAAACCAGTGGTTCTTGTGTTCAAAAAATATACAGTTAGTTAAACGAATTTTTCACTTTTTAGTTGTCTCAAAAATTCTGTGATTCACAGATCACAATGACACATTTATTCTAACATGGCTACTGATATCATTTGACTGTGTCGCCACCCAAATCTCATCTTGACTTGTAGTTCCCATAACCTCCACATGTTGTGAGAGGGATCCAGTGGGAGGTAATTGAATCATGGGAGCAGTTACCCCCATGCTGCTATTCTCATGATAGTGAATTCTCACAAGATCTGATGGTTTTATAAGGTGTTTCCCCCCTTTTGCTCAGCACTTCTCTCTCCTGCTGCCTTGTGAAGA